TGCTTCAACCGCGGCCCGCGCAGCCGCGGCCCCGTGCTGCTCTCCGGGCGGCACCTGCGGCAGGTGAGCGGGACGGGGGGCCGCCTCCGGCCCGCGGCCTCGGGGGGTCCCGCCGCCTCGGCTCGGGTGGGGAGCGGGCCCCGGCGCGGCCGCGGCTCGCGTGCGAGGGTCTCCACAAGCGCGGAACGGAACCTTTACGGAATTGTTCCCCGAGGGTGTAAAACGCCTCCCCGGCTCTCTTTGCAAGCGCATAAAATTGCTCTGCGTGTTTGTTTTGTTTTATTCCGCATTCCCGAGAATCCTTCATTTCCTGACACTGCTGTGACCGTCTAGGCTGCTCTTTGAGGGAGTAGAAGGGGGAAATCTCCTCTTTGGAGCATTAAAAAATGCTGCCTTAAAGAATCGCCCCTGCGAGGGCCGTTATTGGCACTGATTGCAGCCTCCTTGGGTGACCGAGCAGGGCTCGGGGCACCGGGATGGGACAGGGCGTCGTGGGGGGCTCGAGGCACCGAGGGCTCTGCCGTGCCGGGGATCCGGCCTCCCCGGGGACCCTCGCGGGGACCCTGCGCTGCTGGGCGGGCAACGGGCACCGTTTCGCTGAGCTCGGTTTAGACCAGAGCATCTAGAAGGGCTTAGGAGACGTTTTGGGTACCGTTCATCCATAAAGCATCCGCGGTGCTGTGCTCCGGGGCCGGGCGCGGTGCCACATCCAAGGGCAGGAGGCCACAATGCTGGAGCACGGAGCGTGGCCCGGCCAGCCCGTGCGCCCGGTTCAGCACCTGGGACACGGCTTGGAGGCCCCCATACACGTACGTGTGTATGGATCTGCTGCTCTGCTTCCCGGGAGTTCCCTGGGATCCGGCGTCCCCCAGGACATTGCCCGGCCCATGGGGATGCGGCTCCGGAGGGCGGACAGCGGCTCGAAACCGAGAGCGGGCCGGGGGGGAAGCGAAACCCGCGGGGCCGTTTCCATTGTCCAAACGAGACGATATGCAAAGCACAGAGAGGGAAAGTGAGTCGGAGCCGCAGAAATCACGTTATTAAAATGAAGGTGAGATTTGGGCTATTTGCAGCAATCTCTTTAAATAGGAAAGTTTTACAGACTTGGATGATACCCCAAGAGGAGTATTCGTTAAGCAGAGAAAAGCCAGATCAAGCTGCAAAGCCCTTCTCCTTGAGGAGAAACCCTGTTCATTGCTTAGTGTTGCTACCACGCAGCTACTGTTGTAAATACCGTTGCATTTATTTATTCTGCAAAATATTTTCTGCTAAAGATCAATTCTTACAGCAAAGCTGTTAGGAATATTCAAAGGATTATAATTTAGTGGCTACTTTTGCATCGCTTGCAAGCCCTGCTGTGCCTCTGTGCTGCAAGGACTGGCTGAACATCCCTGCAGAGGAGAAGGGGCAGATTTGGCGGGGAATGCCAAAATATATATAGTTGTGATCAAATATAATATAGTCGTACACAGTATAGCTGTGAGCTGCAGTTTAGCTCTCTGCAGAAAGATGAGCTTGGTTTTTGCCCTTGCATTGGGAGCAGCAGCTGCTGGGGCACTCGTGGCCTCTGCTACACGAGGGAAAAGGTGAAGGGTGCTGTGATTAACGTTCTTGTCCGCCCTCTTCCAAGGATGCCGACTCCTCCGAGCAGGTCCTCACGACCATGCGCTGGGGCCTCATTCCCTCCTGGTTCAAAAAGGACGACCCCTCCAAGATGCCCTTCAATACCTCCAACTGCCGCAGCGACACCATGCTGACCAAGTCCTCCTACAAGGTGGGTTACCGCTCCCTTGTGTCCTGCGCTGCTCACCGGGAGGGTTTTCCCAGTGTTGTTGGTGCTGGAAGAGCCGAGACAAATCCGAAGCATTTCCCCAGTAAGGAGTGGCTGCAGTCTGGGGATCCACTGGGGATGAGTCCCCTTAAACGGCTCCTGTTACTCCAGAGCCAGCTGCATTCCTTAAAATGTGAGAATGCAGAAAGCGGTGGCTCTTCCCAAGCTTCGTTCATTCATTCCCAAGCACATGCTCTGTTCTGCGCTTCGAGCGCTGGCCCGGGAAGGGAAAGGGAAGCTGCATGGCTCTGTGGAAGGGGCTGGCAGCAAATCCGCGTGGCTGAAAGCTCAATGAAGGTAACAGCAGTTACCTGCTGCAGTTAACACCGTGCTGCGTAGGGAGCCCCGGCCAAGCCTCTGCTCCTGCAAAATGGGACTGCAGCCGTCCTGGCAGGATGGAGCACGGATCTGTAAGGAGGTCACCGGCTCGTGGATTAGGGCAGCAAATGCCCGGTGGATTATTTTGCCCTTCTCTTCTGCCAGAGCCCCTCACCATATGGTTTTGGGGTATTAGTCGCTGGGATTTGTTCGGGGTGTGAGCCGTGGCCGGCCGCCCCGCGTGCCGCTGCAGGGAGCGGAGCGGGGTGCACAGAGTCCCCCGGCAGCTCCGCGGCCGCAGGTGATGCATCGGAGCCCCAGGGCGGCCGCAGGGGGGTCCCCGCTGCTTAGCGAGGAGCCCGGGCTCAGCCCTGCAGCTCTTGGGTGCTGGCAACGCGCTGGGTGCTGCGCCGAGAGCAGTGCACGGGAGCGTGGGCAGCGACCGGAGCTCCGCGCTTCGGGTGTCCGGTGCCAGCGTCCGTCTCCGCGTCCCTCTGAGCCGTCGTGGGCTGCCCGGGGCTGTTCAGGAGATGAGGTGCTTGTGCTTTCTCCCCCGCAGGGTCCTCTCCTCCAGGGCAAGCGCTGCGTGGTCCTGGCCGACGGCTTCTACGAGTGGCAGCAGCAGGACGGCGGGAAGCAGCCCTATTTCATTTACTTCCCCCAGACGACAAACGAAACAGTACCGGGTGGCTCACAGTGTACAGAGGTTTGGCACACAGCGTCTGCCCCTTGTCCCTCTAAATAGCCTGGGAATGTTTAAGAGTCGCAGCAGATACCTGTAAGGGAAACTCTCACTCCCTACAACTGTGCTCGCCCTTGGGGATCATGCAGAGGACTTTGGAGGGGACAAAACTGGGGCTTGTGCAGGTGGGAAGTGCCTTTGGAGGTGGCTTTGCTGCTGGCCTCGCCAGCCCTGCTGTGCGGAGGCGCAAGCCTTGCTCTGCCTCGGGACGAGCGCCCTGACGTGACGCGCCGTGCAGCAGGTTTCCCGTTGCATTTCCGAGCAGGGCCCGGTCCCGTGCAGGGCCCGGTCCCGTGCAGGGCTCTGTGCCCAGGTTCTGAACCCCCAGGCTGTAGATGGGCCGGCGGTGTCACCAGCTGCCACGCTGGCTGCCACCCGCGCTCCCAGCATTTGCATGGGCGGCTGATGTGTCACCCAGGGGACTTGCCGGCCACTTTCCCTTCCTCCTTTCCTCTCTGTGAGTTGGCAGCTGCGATGTGCCGAGAGGAAGGAGGCGCCCAATAGCAGCCCTGCTCGGAGAGCCCAAGGATTAGTTCGGATCATGGATGGGATTCGAGTGCCCTGCCACATCTTCGGCGAGGGTGCGATGCCCGGCCTGCCCGTTAGGGAGCTTGGCATGGAAATGGTGACACAAACGGTCCATGGTCTGTCTTCCAGGCCGACGAGACGGAGGAGGAGGACGAGTGGAAGGGCTGGCGGCCGCTCACCATGGCTGGGATCTTTGACTGCTGGGAGCCACCGGGCGGCGGGGACGCGCTCTACACTTACACCATCATCACCGTGGACGCCTCCAAGGACGTGAGCTTCATTCACCACAGGCAAGGAGGGGCATGGGGAGCACGAGGCAGGAAAGCCGCCCTTGGAGAGAAACGCTGCACCATTGACAGCTTGTTTAGTGCTTGTTTAGCTTGTTTAGCTCCCGCCCTTCCCATAAATCACCATCGTTGTCCCCTGGCAGATGACAGGAGGAGCTGAATTACTCCCAGCCTGGCAGGATCTGGTAGTCGAGCCCTTGGCTCTTGCAGCAGAACAGTCCCTTGGCTCGCTGAGTCCGATACCAGCCTCACAGCAGAGCAGTCTTGTGCTTGTTCTTTCCCCTGTGGCTTCTGAGGTGCAGTTTGTGTCCAGCCAACTTCTCACTTGCTTACGATTCTTGCTTGTGACTCCTTCTCCTGTGCAGAGCTTGTGCTTGGGGGGCTTGCTGGCCGGGGGGCTCGCAGGTTCTGACCCCTCTCTGTGTGCCCAGGATGCCGGCCATCCTGGACGGGGAAGAAGCCGTCAGGAAGTGGTTGGACTTTGCTGAAGTGCCCACCCAGGAAGCCGTTAAGCTCATCCAGCCCACGGAGAACGTTGTTTTCCACCCAGTATCCACCATCGTGAACAGCGTGCGCAACGACAGCCCCGAGTGTCTCGCTCCCATTGAGCTGGGCGTGCGGAAGGTAGGAGCGCAGGGGGGGCTCGGCAGGCGCCTGCGGAGGAGCCGCCCGGGCAGGGTGACGTTTCTGAGCACAGGGGGCTGCTGTCACTGTCACACTCGGGAGAGGGGCTCGGGCGGCCGGTGTCCTCCTCGGTGCCTGCCTGTGTTCAACGCTGCTGTGCAAAGGCCCTGATAGATTCCCCTCCTGGTGCTTCCAGGAGTAAACTCTGTCTTCTTCTGCCAGGATTTCCTTGCCAAATGAAGCAAATTCCATGTCAAATGGAGCTTGGAATAGTGCTGCTCACAGCAGCCCTGGGAACCTCCTGCAAATGTGTCCAACTGCAGTCGAGGCTGTTGCTGCATCATCCACGTGCTGCACCCTGAGTCCAAAGCGACGTGTGCCCTGCTCTCCCTCCGCTTCTCACTTCTCCTCTGCTCTCCCTTGTCTCTCCAGCAGGTCAAAGCCACTGCAAGCAGCAAAGTGATGGCGAACTGGCTGAAAAGCTCCCCGGAGGCCTCTCCCAAGAAGCAAGAAAACGAGGTGCCCAGATGGACGAGTCAGTTCATCCCTAAGGCCTCGCCCAAGAAAACCAGCGCGGGGGTCCTGCAGCAGTGGCTGGGGAGGACGGGCGAGCCGGCCTCGAAGAGGCCCAAGGTGTAGGCGCTACGGGGGCTGCAGAACCAGGAACGTGTTGTAGGAGGCTTTGCAAACTGGCGCTGACGTTCTCCAAGCCTCTCAGGTATTGATCTGATGCCCTAGGTTGTCGTCTCTGTTGTTAGTGTTTAGTTAGAGGTTAATGTTTGTCTTTAAAGACGCTTGGCTTTGTCTTGCGCTGGTGGGAGCGGATACAACACGCTGGCTTCCCTCCCTGTCAGTCTGCTCGCTCCGGGGGAAGACAAAACCTTCAGCAGCATCTCAGCCTGCTGGACGGGAAGCATTTCTGGCCGTATTTCCCAGGGCACATCTCCATTTTCTGTTTTTATTATTTTTCATTTTCTTTCTATCAACCTGATATCTTTTTTTCCATTTAATTCCTTACTGATTCTGCATGATTGCCATCCTCTAGCCCCTAAAAGACTTGTGCAGTGTAAGGGAACATGCAGTAAATGCTAGAAACTCCCTCGCCATGTTCTGCCATGCCGCTTCATCCCAATATTTTGGCAAGCTCTCAGGTATCCCGAACGGGGAGATCTCAAGGCCGTGCTTGAGTTCTTGGGTCTTGCTTGGGTAGGGAGAGCTCTTTGCTGGCAAGAGCTCAGGGAGCTTCCTTGTTTCGAGGAGAGAGGGGCTGTGGTTGAGGCTGGAGGACGGAACAGCCTGTGCGGGTTCTGCTCTGAACTGCCCCTGTCCCAGCTCTTTCCCCATCTCCTTATGGATCTTCCCCATGGAGGTTATGCTCCATTCTCCCCCTTCTCCTCTCCTCCATCTCCTCAGCTCCGTGCTGCCACGCGGTGCCATCCAGGAGCTGGTGTTTAACCCTGCTCCAAGCACCCCACTGCAAGGCCTCTGTGTGTTTTCCCATGCCCGACCTGGGCAAATGGGTTAAAACCTGGAGTATTTGGGCCTTGCTGGGGTTTCCCTGTGGGCAGTGGCATGGGACAACTTGCCTTGGTCACATTGTTTGTGCAATCGTTTTGTTAATAGGATTTGGAGACTTAGAGAGGATTTTCTTGATCTGTGGAGGGATGCATCCTGCTCGGCTCAGAGAGGTCATTTGTTAAAGCCCAGATAACCAAAGTGCCATTAAAGAACAGGAGATGGGGGTCGGTTTGGGGCTCAGGATTCTCTAAACAGAACCAGATGCTGTGGACCAAAAGCCTTACACACAGGGACGTTTGCTGGAAAACAGAATGTAATTTGTCTTCAGAACAATAAAATGGGATTAGCAGGTGGATTGCGCGGTGTCCGTGTGTGCCCGTGTCCTCGTTTCCACCGCAGCCCCTGTCACTGGGGTTTCAGCAGCACAGTCGGTATTTGCTCTGCACCTGCTGCGAGGGAGAGCGGCGAGCAGACACCAAATGTCGGGAGCAGCAGCACCGGCCTTCCAAGGGCTTCCCGTTTGCCAGTGCAAACGGTTCCCTGGAGAGTCATTCCAGGATTCCCCTCGAAGGCCCCATCCCAGAGGAGCTGTGGGATGGCCAGAGCAGAGGCCCATGTGCAGGGAGGGAGCCCCAACCCGGTTCCTGTGTTTCCGAGGGCATAATCCATGCTGGTGTGAGGCTGCGGGGTGCTTGGTAGCTTCCTGCAGGCGCTGGGTGTCGTGGCTGCAAAGGGATGCTTAGGGTTTCCCCACCGGCCGTGGGTGCTGAACCCCCACCTTTAAGTGCCACTTGTGCTCCTCGTGGGAAGCGGAATGGCCACAGCGACCTGACGAGTCCCGCTGGAGGCTGGTGCCGCTTTCAGCTTCCTGAGAATTCTGCTGGCACCGGGGCTGCTCAGCTGCAGCCTGGGCTCGTCTCCATGTCAGGGCTTTTCTGGGGACAGATGAGATGCTCCAGAGGGGTGAAACCCTGAAACACAGGCAAAGGCCAAGGCTGGTTATGGGTTTGGGAATCCAGATGGGCGGCCTGCAGTGACTCATAGCAGCTCCGTGCCAGGGCCCAGGCAGGGCACTCTCCTCCAGGGCAGCCCGAGGTGCTCAGGGAGACCGCGGTGCCCCTCGGGGCCGACAAACAGCACCCAGGGCTCTGGCGCCCTGGTGCGAGGGGCACCCAGCCCACCCATCCTGCGCTGTCCTGGGCCTCTGCAGCCTCTGTGTCTGTGCCGCACGGTGGGACGGGCAGAGGGAGGCGACCGGCGGCTGCAGCCTGGCAGCCCCGAGCGCGCCGGGGCTGCGGGGGAGCGGGACCCCCGGGACCCCCGCGCCGGGCC